CAAAGTCTTGGCTGGAAAGTTTGGGGCACGTGTGAACTCGGCCTTTCCAGGCGAAATGTGGGAATTCTGAAAGGCGGGGTCCAGGCGACTCGGGGATGCTAAACCCCGAGGTCCCCAGGGCATTTGAAGGGCGTGAAATTGGGGTGCAAAGTCTTGGCGGGCTTATGACTCCAGACTGCATCGGTAGCAGTACGACCTGTACGAATTATCCTAGCACTGCTATCATCACAAAGGAGTTTCAACGTAGCATGTTTAAAATTGACTAACATGTGAAAAGTAACCGGCGTTAGGTCTTCGCCTGTGATCGTGTAGGGCTCCATCGAAAAATGGGTAACTTTCCTAGTGTTGGCCGAAGTTCGATGGGGCAGCAAAGGCTTGTTATTTTCATCAACGAGTCTAAACCCCATATTTGCACCCGAATCTGTATTAATGCTAATGGTGCAGATAATCAATGCAGTGCCCCCAACTTCGACCCACGTGCCAGTGTGGTCGTCACAAAACCTTAAACCCACGCTGGCATGACTATCCGTACCAATGCAAATGGTGCATAGGATCAACTTCTTCCCAGAGTAGTTTAAATCTACCGACATCCCTGTGACGACAACCCAGCCTGCTTGGGTATATTTCTTTTTTCCAGTGTAAGCTTTGTAAACGCAATCAACTCCARATGCGTATGGGTTGTTCATCGCAGTATATAATAACCTAGACCAATGCTCGCGAACGCCAGCCCTGTCCTGACATAGCCATGGTTATCTTCGGGTATGGTTGGTAACGTGGGAACATACTTTGGTTTAGGCTTAGGCTTGGGCACTGGCTTATCAATATGTTCTTTTTTCGTTGGGGATATCCCAGTAAAGGTGTCGGAGTTCCGGTCATTGGCATCAAACTTCATATCCTTAGTGGCCCGTTTTAGCTTGTTGTTATATCCTACTACAGAGCCAGTATTCATAGATAAATTACTAGGCATTAACCAACAACCTAGGGCTACTGAATAGTCCAACCTTGCCTTAGAATTATGTATAGCTAGTTGGTAGCGCTGTACGCTTTTGATAATATCGCCCTCCAAGATCGAACTTTCGAATAAGATCAATGCTTCGGCTCGCGTCTCTTTTGCGGAACCACTATTTCCGATTATGCTAGATCGAGTGTTTACCTTGGCTCCAAGAACACAATACACGTAAGCTTCTATGCTACGATTTAACCTAATAAGACCAGCATGAGTCAATCCTTTCCCTACTTTAGGTATGAAATTAAGAAATTGCCTGGTTTGCTCGTCGTTGGTAATCTTAATAATCAATGGATTAGCCCCTGCATACTTACCACCCTCGTCTTTAAACAACGGGCCATCCCTCACAGTACTCTTGGTTGGGCCTTTCCAAAACTTCAGCATAACATCAGTATCATAATGGGATTCACCATGGGTAGCCATGGTCCGTCTTAGATTCAACGCATGAACTTCCTTGTCACTTAGTTTATGTCCACCAATGTCCCAATAAGCCCAAATATGACCTAAATCATTGTTATCACCAGCAGTACATCGAAAGGATTTTCCCTCAACGCCAAACTCTCTACAATGCCTAGTATGAGCGGGACCATTATAACGATTGTCCTTAGGATCAAATAGTGAGTCCCACGGCAAAGGCAATGACACCCATCTCATGCAATATTCTCCTAACCGTGTAATGAAAATGAAACATGAACATCGAAGTCTTCATCAAGTTCGTACTCACACCACAGCCGCTAGGAGCGCACCAAACTGCAAAGTTAAGCTGCTGCGGCCAGTACCTCATATTAGGACCCTGTAACCATTCGTGAGATTCCTTAGCAGTGGTATGAATCATGGGAACTTCTCTGAAAATATCTCGTATCTTAGCAACGAATGAATAATCTTTAGAAATTTTCATATTCAAAGTTAGGTCCAAGCTTGCATGTTCATTAAATGATACAGCAGGTATCGGATAGACGCTAGTAGAAATCAATAACTCATTTGGCCAGTTGGGCTTTGCCACGGGCTTAGCATGCACAGGCTCAACATGCACGGGGCTTAGGTTTAGGTTTACGTTCGACATAACCAGGTGGCGAAATCTTAGTAATGTGCTTAGAATTCTTCGCAAGCTGGAAGTCTATCTCCTTAACCAGCGTAGGACTCAAATCCTCATCGCTGTACATCTTAGATCCTTAGTAATAAATACCGTCGGGTCTACGCTCAAACTTAGTAGGGTCTGCGTGCGGGAACATCTTCCTAAAGGCCCTCCAATTCCAGTAGTCCCGATTGTCGTGATGTGGCTGCTCCTCGATGTCATTCCCAAACGCATCGTACATTAGTATATATAATGAATGTTATACAACCAACTGCTCCACAGTTGTATCCTACCGTGCCTAACGAATTAAACGCTGAGAACTTTCGTCTTAATAAAGCAAATTTAATATTGGGGCATTTAGAAAACGAAACAAAACATTATGAGAAAGTCAGAAAAAAAATATGTCAGGACACGAAGCATATCATATAAATTAGCAATAGTTACTGGCTCTATGTCTGTAGCCCTCACGGGAACAGGCATGGCAACGTCTTTAGCAGGACCAGGGATAATCGTTGGTATTCCTTTGGCAAGTGTTGGGGCTGTGTGTGGCATTATTTCAGCTACCAGCACAGGGGTCATGAAGAAATTGTCGACTAAGATTTCAAAACATGAAACTACAATAGCGCTGTCACGATCGAAATTAAATACGATCAGTGACCTGGTTTCGAAAGCATTGCGTGACAGGAAGATCGACGATGTCGAATTCGCTTTGATCCTAGCCGAGGAAAATAAATATGAAGCACTAAAGGCGGAAATCCGAAGAAAAAGGGGGTAGTCAAAGACTTATCCGAAGAAACGCGAAAAAATATATACCAAGAGGCTAAATTAGACAGAGCTTCAGAAAAGACTCACACAATAAGCATTCACTACGACAAAATCCCAGTGGGATTTAATTTAATCCTATCTAGGAGTTATGCTAATTCCAGTCGTTGGTACCATTCTCGGTAATAAGTTCATGTTCTAGAGGAATACAATGCATATATTGTATAGTAGTGTATTATTTTATATTGTATGCATTGTCGTGTCTTCTATTGTTYTTCTATTGTTTCTAGAACATGAACGAACTACCGAATTCTCGCTCACGCCTTCGATCTGCTTCAAATTCTTGTGAAAGAAGCTCAAAGGTAGTTCACAATGTCTAAGCCTCGCTAGGTGCTAATAATTTACATCTTTTATGACGCATTTCGCTACGCCTCAATGCGTTTACAGTGTGTATCACAAATAAACTATAATTAAGACGTAATAATTATAATATATATATATAGATAACTAGACTAAAATGTTATAATAATGATAATCTAAAACAAATTAATTAATATATAGCTAATATAAAAGTATGGTTAAACAAATATAGGGTTAAAATTAATATAGCATAATAAGATAG